CTCTGACTCCCATGCACCTGAGCCACCACTGGAACCCAGGGAAAGTCACAGTCCTGCACCTAAAAGATAGGAAACAGGAGGGTGACTAAAATATTTTTAGTTTGTTTGTGTGTATGTGTCTTTGTATTTATGTCTTGTGTGTGTCTATGTATGTATGTCTTGTGTGTATGTGTCTATCTGTATATATGTGTGTATGTATGTGTCTTGTCTTTGTATGTATGTGTTGTGTGTGTATGTCTTTGTATGTACGTGTGTCTTTGTATGTGTGTCTTGTGTCTGTATGGGTCTATGTATGTCTTATGTGTGTGTCTTTGTATGTGTACCTGTCTGTATGTATGTGTACCTGTCTGTTTGTATGTATGTGTCGTGTGTGTGTGTGTGCTTGTCTGTATGTATGTATGTGTCTGTATGTATGTGTGCCTGTCTGTTTGTATGTATGTATGTCTTTTTATGTGTGTGTGTGTGTGTGTATGTATGTGTGCCTGTCTGTTATAGTGGGCAATAGTATGTGGGATACCTAGCTAAGACTTCCTACTGGGCATTGCAATAAGGAAGGTTAAAAAATAGAAAAAAGGGATAAAAAAAGGTGGGGAGGGGAATTGAGGAGGGAGATGAGATGAGCTGACGCACAGATGAGAAATCATATTATGCGCAAACAGAGAAGTCGTCTGAATATCACCGAAAGAGAAGACCTCCGTTTGTTCCTTACGAAAATCGAGCCAGATATCAAATATTTAGTCTTGCAGCATCAGCCTCAAGGATCTCATTAATCACTAGTAAAGGTAATTTCAATTTACTTTATTGTTTTCTCATTAAACTTTATAAAGTTAAAAACATTATAAACATGCATTAAGTAGAAATAAAAAGATAAATGTATGTACATTTATTTTTTTTAAAACATCCTCCTTTCGAAAAAATATTCTGCACTTGCGCGAAAACTGGTGTGAGGTAAGTTTTTCCATCAAGAAGGATGCATTAATGGGCGGTAGGTAGAAAAAGATTGACTACCACTGGTTTAAACAGTAATCACACATAGCCTCCCTCTGCTATATACAGTGACACTATGCCTGCACACATATTAAGATTATATGAGTGATATAAATTGAGGCTGTGTTTTAACAGAACTTCATGCACATAATATACCACTCACATATACTGAGGTTGTGACTCACAACCCACACATATAACCAGTATTAGATTGGACTCATATAGCAGATGTGTCTTATATCATTCACATATATTGTGTTTCCACTAATACATCAATCATATAGAGAACAGATACACTGAAGCAATGTCTCCACACCATCTTACCTATAGAGCATGTAGAGGACATATACTGAGGCTGTGTTTTCACAGCGACTCAAAGCATATAAATAACACACACTGAGGCAGAGTCTCCAGATCAACTCATACATAGAGCATATAGTGGATATATATACTGAGGCTGTGTCCTCATAGTAACTCATACACAGAGCATCAAGTGGGTACATATACTGAGGCTGTGTACTTATAGTAACTCATACACAGAGCATCTAGTGGGTACATATACTGAGGCTGTGTACGTATAGTAACTCATACACAGAGCATCTAGTGGGTACATATACTGAGGCTGTGTACGTATAGTAACTCATACACAGAGCATCTATTGGGTACATATACTGAGGCTGTGTACTTATAGTAACTCATACACAGAGCATCTAGTGGATACATATACTGAGGCAGAGTCCTCATTGTAACTCATATATACAGCATATAGTGGGTACATATACTGAGGCTGTGTCCTCACAGTAACTCATATATACAGCATATAGTGGGTACATATACTGAGGCTGTGTCCTCACAGTAACTCATACATACAGCATATAGTGGGTACATATACTAAGGCTGCATTCCTCATAGTAACTCATACATAGAGCATATAGTGGATACATATACTGAGGCTGTATCCTCATAGTAACTCATACATAAAGCATATAGTGGGTATATATACTGAGGCTGTGTCCTCATAGTAACTCATACATAGAGCATATAGTGGATACATATACTGAGGCTGTATCCTCATAGTAACTCATACATAGAGCATATAGTGGATACATATACTGAGGCTGTGTCCTCATAGTAACTCATACATAGAGCATATAGTGGATACATATACTGAGGCTGTGTCCTCATAGTAACTCATACATAGAGCATATAGTGGGTACATATACTAAGGCTGCGTTCCTCATAGTAACTCATACATAGAGCATATAGTGGATACATATACTGAGGCTGTATCCTCATAGTAACTCATACATAAAGCATATAGTGGGTATATATACTGAGGCTGTGTCCTCATAGTAACTCATACATAGAGCATATAGTGGATACATATACTGAGGCGATGTCCTCACAGTAACTCTTACATAGAGCATATAGTGGAGATATATATATATACACACACACACACACACACAGGCCGTGTCCTCATAGTAACTTATACCAAGAGCATATAGTGGGTAAATATACGGAGGCCGTGTCCTCATAGTAACCCACACATAGAGCATATAGTGGAGATATATATATATATATATATATATATATATACTGAGGCGTAGAGTATATAGTGGATACATATACTGAGGCCGTGTCCTCATAGTAACTCATACATAGAGCATATACTGGACACACACTGAGACTTCATACCAATTCATACATTAGAGCATATAGTGGAAACATACCGATGCTGTACCACCACCAGTTTATGTACAGATACTGAGGCCCAGTGGTCTCCTGTGCAGTATATTCTTCCACTGTCTGCAAAAGCCTGCTTATTTGTGATAATGCACAGATAACAGCAATCAATGCCACATGCCTTGATAAAAACAAGTGTATGTGTGTGGACTTAGAGTTAGGATTTTAAAACTTGTCATATACATGTATGTACTTCAATCAGACACCCAAGAAAGTTCTCTTACCTTGGATAGTTCTCTGTCTTCAGGCTGTGGAATTCCAGCAGACTTCATACAGCCAGGATATCCATTATTAGCACTCTTTTTCACAATGTCTTATTGCATTATCAGCACTCCTTTGCACAATTCCTCCTTGCATCATCAGCACTACTTTGCCCAATGCATACTTGTATTATCAGCACTCTTGTATAAACTTACCTAAATGCTCACCACACAAATCTCCTAAATGTGACCTATTTGTTAGAAGGAAGCCTAAAATAAGCAGCTGGGAGGGACTGAAAGAACAGAGACCCAGGTGCCTATACTAGTTTTAATCTAAATTACTAATGCACTTACCTGAACCGTTGAAGGCCTGTGTTTCAGCGGCAAAATGGGGATTTGAACAACTGACAGCCTAAACTGTTTAAACTATAGGCTTCCATCTGTACCCCATATGCCGTTCATAATCACCATACAAGGTGGAATACATAGAATAGGTATACCCCAGTAGTCACAACTCTGTTGGGCCTCATGTATGCAGTGTTCTGCTGTCATCCCCTCAGTGAGAGAGATAGGGCAGACCCCTGGTTGCTGAAGTAGGTACCCAGGCTGGCAACTCTTACCGGTATGCTGTTTGCTGTGTCTTCAGGGGTAAGAGGCTGAACCCTGGCCTGGCTTCATGTAGGCAGTATATCACATACAACCCCTGAGGGGGTACCCAAGCTGGCCTGTTGCTGGGTCTTCAGGGATAAGAGGCTGAACCCTGGCATGCAGTGGACCATTTTCATCCCTTTCAGGGAGAGGTTGGGTCCGACCCCCGGTCACTAAAGAGGGTACCCAGGCTAGCCACTTCATCTTAGTGCGTTTTGCTGGGTCTTCAGGGCTTAGAGGCTGAACCCCGGCAGGGCCTACAAAATATTGCCTGGTGAGCATAAAAGAAAAAAAATCTAGGCCTGCATAAACAGACTCCTTCCAAACTGCTGTGAAGGACAGGAAAAAAAGACTGCCTGATGGGAAGGGGGAGGATCTATTTATACCAGTTTCAAAGTTCTATTTCCTGTCCTTTCTGCTGTAAGGGGAGGAGCTAACCCATGAGCAATGGTCAGGAAATCCTCATGCAGAGCGTTAGGACGTCAAGTGTCATTTAAGGGATCTAGAGAGTCTGTTAGAATCACGGACTCGCCTCGAGTGGCTGTCTGATTGAATGCCACTAGAGGCTAAGTCCGGCATGGTAATTAATGCAGTTTCTAAAAAACTGCAATATTCTACATTGCAGTACTAAGAGGAACAGGGACACTGCGCCCAGACCACTTTAAAATGACACTTGCGGTGCACTTCCCAGTCTAATGAGATGGATATAGCAGTGTTCAGCGTGCACTGGCAGCCAGCAGATGGAGTCCTAGTAATAGCTGTACTGTGGCTGCCATCATCCATACATACGGAGTGCCTGCCTCTACACAGTCTGACCGGTATTAATTCTCTGTTCTGGATCTGCCTGGACAGCTTATTAGCCCAGACTCCAGTAACACCACCGTGTGTTTCATTATGGTGTGCACCGGGAAATTCTTCCTCTGTTATTTCGTTATTGTTGTGTAATGTGAATATTTAGTGGATGCGTGGGGTGGCTGAAAGTGTTGTAGCTCTGTGTGGTAAGGTGCAACAGGATTGTAGCGTTGGGAATACATATGTGTACATGGTGGTTTTGTTTTTTTCTAAGCACATATAAAAGCAGAATCTTTCTAACCTAGTTTGAAATCCATTTCAGCCTGTAAACACCAACACAACTGTTAATACCTTGTCAGCTCCAGACGTCTTCGTGATCTATGGGAATTGTGTGCAAGTTTAGCATTTTCTCTTCTGTATTGTTACCAAGATTTGAGATCACATAGAATCCTAGGCAGGTTATTAGATTTAGACCCTGCCTTTCACTAGGAATGGCAAATGGAACAAAACTTGCTTACGTAATAACAGTCTGAAACGTGTGGTTTTCATATGGTAAAATAATAAACAAACATTCACTTGTGCCGCCATCTTGATCGGCATAATCTAACAAAATACATGACAATCAGATTCCTCTTAATTTTTTCCATTTCAAAGTTTATTTTGTTTCAGCCCCAGGAAAGAAGGGAAAAAAAGAAGGTGGGAAAAAAAACCATAAGAAATAAAACAAGTCCAAAACAGATTTCCAAAAAAAATGATTAGGAATTGATAATGGGACACGTCTTTAAGCCAATGGAAGTCCAATGTGCAGAACACAGGCCATTTGTAGAATACAGCAATTATTATTCCTTTTTAAATGGATATAAATATGTGAGAATTCTAAAGTCATACTTTGATTTATCTGAACAAATCCATTTCTACCATTTCATTAATTCATAGATGCACCTCATTATTATAGGACCAATATGAATAGTTACACACAAATAGGTCTATATGGAAATTGAACGGTTTATAGAGGGAGACTGTGATTTACAAGAGAACATACCACCCTTTCAAAAGGGTTCAAATTCTCAAATGTCATCTCTGATCACACCCATAAGTCCCACTTGTTTACACAGGAACACCCTACAAATCTTGCAACATAGGAGCTGACAAAGTTGAAAAGTAATGACAAAATATTTTGCTGTGAATTTACATAATAAAAACAAAAACAAAAACAAAAAAACATAGTGGGGCTAAAACTAGATGAAATAAAAAGATAAAAAGGAGAGAGAGACTTTCAGCAATTATCACACAGAATGTTGTTCTAAACATGTGAAACAGGAGGGATGTCACTGGAAAAAAAAAAAAGTGAAAATACTTCACATTTATGGCCTGGTCGATGTTGCCAAACTTGTGTCAAACAGTATACTAATATATCACCCTACCAGAAGAATGTTCACGATATTTAGGGTCCTAGAAGTGGCTACAGGAGGGTTAGGAGATCTGTCAGCGTGAGAGACTACAAGATGGTCTGCAAATAGAAGATGCTAAGCCACATAGCAACTCTGGATATTTCGGTTTCTGGAATGGAGATAAAGTCTTCGAAAATTACGGATAAAAGGGTGTCCTTTTCTTTCTGGATTGTAAATTACATTGAGCAACCCACTAAAACATAGTTGGGTCTAGTCAGTACTTGTCTGCATGTATCCAGAGACATTTAAAAACTTTTAGGCTTTTTCCCCTTTTTTTTTGCGGCCCTTAGTCTCCTCTATTGGTGGTTGTTTGAAGCACTCCTCTGAGTGGATGTAATGCAGTGCCATTTCACTGTAGGCCTCCAGAATTCGTTGTCTCTCCTCGGGTGTAAAGTCCACAGAGTAAGGATGCACCTGGACTATGTGGCGCTTAATAGTACTGACCTTAAGGGTGGCTAGAGTACCCCCACAAACCATACAGATCAACCCTTGACGGCGGCAATCATAGTCCATCATAAACTCTGTGCGCCAACGGACCTGGTAGTTCCGCCTGGCACTATTGCAAGGAGGGGGCAGAGAGGCAACAATGTTAGACGATTTGGATGAAGATGGTTTGATGACCTCGGGGCGGCCAGTGCAGTTCTCAGCATTGGATCCACTGGCATCAGAAGTGGATGATTCTTCTATATGGAGAAAAGAAAAAGCAATTAATAAGAGAACGATAACCTTCCAACATTTTTAAGTCTAGTGTATTCACATAACTCAGATTGACGAGAGAGATGATCACGTTATAAAAAAATGAAAAAAACAAAAAACGACACACTCTTCACACATAAAACACTTAAGCACTTACCAGAAAAACAAAACACATTGGTTGAATATTTTAGAAGATTAGCTTTCAAAGCCCAGGGTTTTTCACAAATTCTGCATATATGATCAATGTTAAATTTAGTGACCCTCCACCTTTGGGCACGATCGCCCAAGACTTGAGGACTTTTAACTAAAACTACATGTGCTTCTCTGGAGGAAACCTGTTACAAAGTAACGGTTTGGTTTGGTTGGTTGGAAGGAAATTTTACTTGGGTAGATCCCACACTATCTAAGCCCCAGCCAAGGTCAAGGCAACCTGCATTGACAGCTATGTCAGGTGGATCAACTCTGGAGAAACAGACTATGACACAGCATAACATATTGATAACAAGTCCCCTTTACTGTGTGTGTTTTTACTTTTACACACACAATTTCTTACCATTTATTTCAAAGCAGATCTCATCCCCGCCATCTTGCTGGGTTGATGCTCTTTTCCCAACAGCCAATTTTTGCTCCCACTCTTCCATGACTACAGCCTTCTCCTGGTCACTTAAATAGGTGGTATCTGGGTGCTTTTGCTGGATGTGCATTTTCACTGTGCTGATTTTTGGGTTCAGAAGAGTTGCTCCACATACCATACAGATCAGGCCATCCTTTTCTGGAGTGTAGTCCATGAGGAATTCTAGTTTCCAGCGATCATGCTCGTACCTGCGAGGGTCTTTTGTTTTACCCTGCACTCTTCCAAAGGCAAACTCCCAGGAGGATCCCCGGCCATCTGTGGGCACCATACCTGACCAGCTACTCTCCTCATCTACAGCAGAGTACATCTCTGGTGGTTTTGTAACATCCAAAAGTATATCTGTATTGGAAGAAAGTCACAAACAACAACGTTAAGATAACAGAAGGATGAAAGGTGTAGTGAAATGAAAACGGAGTTGCCTAATTTAGTCAAGCTGTGATTAAAGCAGAGTCCTCCCCCCATCAATTAAGCCATTTTAAAATGTGTAATTTGCTAAAAAATAAATAAATCTGTAATTCCTATTCCTGAATGTTTGTGAATGACCATATGAGCATCTCAAAATTTATTGTGGGTGCATGCTAACTGAGAAAAGGAATAAAAGTATACAGAAAGAAATATAGAGAAGAGAACAAAGCAGAAAAAAATAGTCTAATTAAAACTGTATTAAAGTGAAAAAAGGCACAGAAATCAATGTTGAGTGTGTAATGTTAATAAAATGCAAATTTTTTTTTTTTTATATTAAAAAAAAAAAAAAAAAAAATCATGTTGCCTGTATGCCAAATTATGGACACCATTTAATTTGGACCATGCAAGAAAAAAAATTCTATATTAAAGTTATTGGGAGTTCTTACTTAAAGGGACACTATAGTGACCAGAACCACTACAGCTTAATGTAGTGATTATGGTGTCAATAGCATATCCCTGCAGGCGTCTCAATGTAAACACTGCCTTTTCAGAAACAATGTAGTGATCTTTATTTGCACCTGCTGACATGTTCAGCCAACGAATTGCTTTAAAATAAGGAAAAAGTGTATATTGCCAATTCAGAAGTGAACTTCCACAATATCAATAGTCGCTAGGTGCCAGGCCATCCCCAGCTGTTAAAAAAACAAATGTGACTCAGAACCGGGAAACAGATTTATTGTATCAAGATGTATTGGTTTTGGTGTTGTCTATTCTTTTAATTGCTATTAGTTGGCAGCTTGGTAGTAGAGGATAGAGATTTCACCATGTCACATTAAAACTGACATTATGTCACAAGAATTTTAGGACAAATAGGATGTATAAAGAAGAATTCTGGAGCAATGTTGCAAAAGCAAAGCAGTAACCATGGATACCAGAGAATATCCCTGTAGAATGCTCCAACCCCTTAAACAAACCCTATTAAACTAAACAGAGTGACAATGATCACCAGAAGCTTGGGGGGCCAGTAGAGGCACCACTCTTCATTTCTTACCGCCTTTTCTAGCAACTCCATCCTTGCACTGCTCTGCCACCATCTGCCTCACTTCAGCCACTTTGGTCTCCCAATCATGGATGACAGCGGCTCTCTCCTCCGTGGTATAGTTTCCAGTCTGTGGGTGCTTTTGTATAATGTGCCGTTTGATGCTGCTCTCTTTTAAAACAGTGAGGGAGGAGCAGCAATACATGCAAACAACACTTCCCCGGAGTCCATTGTAGTCCATCAAATAATCCGAGCGCCAACGTAGCTGATAAGAGGAGCACTGGTTCCGATTTGCAGGGTTTCCCCGCCAAAGGCTCACTTCCCACAGCATAGGATCAACACCAGAAGGCCAGCAGGCATCGCTAGTGGTAGTGGCAATCTTTGGGTTCCAGCTGGAAGGATCATTGTTTGCAGGGGCTTGCTTAGGAGGGCTGATTTCTCCTGGAGAGAGCTTGGGAGCTATAACTCTCCAAGATTTCAAGAGATCAGGAGACGAAATGGAAAGAGAAGAGGAGGGTTTTGCAGGAAGGACGAGAGCGGATGAGAGAGGAGAGACACGGGTGATAAGTATAGGTGTTGGAGATTCCACTGAAAAATTAAAGGGAGAGAGAAAGAAGGGGATATAGTTTATTAGCATGTCATGGAAATCTTAAATATCTCTCTTTATCTTGACAAACTTTAGACTTAATGCTTCCTTTGACTTTGTTCACAAATGATAAGGAAAGACACCAAGCACCATCACCACTATCGTATGCTGTATGGTTCCAGAACTGCCTGGCGTGGCCCTCAATTTATGTAATCAAACTGTTTTGCTAATGGTTTGACAGCTTAGCAGGGATCTGACAACCAGATGCTGGTCACATCCTCTACAAGTACCTGCACGAAGCTACTGTTGGCTATCTTGAGCTAAACTCTGTCATGTAAGTGCCAAGTGTTTTGTCTACTTACATTGGAGGGAGAGCACCAGGGCAGTGCTAACACAATAACCAATACATTGCACTATAAATGGTTTTTGGGGTTGGTTAATGTCAATTCTGTGCCTATTTCAATGCACGGTGATGCATTAATTAGTTGAAAGCTGTCAGCTGACTCTCTGTCAGTTAATGAATAGCCGGCAGGATTGGAATCAGGTTTCTGCACAACAGGATGGCACAGCCAGGAGGAGAGTACACTGTGTTCTCAGAAGAACGCAGGTAATGGGGCACACCGTTGCAAAGTGGTTTTCCCCATTACCGAAAGGGCACCAGGGCACTCCTGGCTGGCTGTATTGGATATGATGCTTGGAGTAAAGCCGATTATATCTCCCTCCCACCACCCCTTCTTCACAGTATTTTCAATATCACTCACTTTTTAACACAGGAAGTCCAATTCCCAGCATTCCCGGGGACATTGATGGTGTTGAATGCGCGTGTACTGAATGAGTCTTCTCTGTGTCCACATCTGGTTTCTTATCTTGCTCTACAGAATTCTGGAATTCTAAGCTCCTTCTTGGTTGCAGACCTTCTACACCCTTTTGATTCTTTGCCTCCAACATTTGTGACTCTGATTTTTGCCTTTCCTCTTCCACTCTCTGGTCTATCTCCTGCTGCTCCTCCTCTATCTTCACAATATTTTCTTTATTTTTTAGTTTCTGGTCCCTTATTTTTTTCAGTTTTTCTTCCTCCTCCAATTTCTGACTCTCCCTCTTTCTCAACTTTTCTTCTTCCTCGAGTTTTTGGGCTGCCTTTCTTTCCGCCTCCAATTTCCGAGTTACCAGTTTTAGCTTCTCTTCCACCTCCACCAATTTAAGAATCTTTTTTACTTGTTCTTCTTTCTTTGGCACCTGGATTTCACTTGCCTTCCACTTTTCAACCTCTCGTCTTGTGATCTTCTCATCTTCTATTTTTTTAGAATCTTGTAACTTCTGGTTTTCTTCCTCGGTTCTCTGGGCCTCAACACTCTCCTTTTCCAACAGCATTCTACTCTCTGGTTTCTGAGTCTTTCTAGGCTCTAGATTTTCATCATCCAAGATCAATCTCTCTCTTGAGGTCGGTTTAATTTTCTCAGTCTTATCATTTTTCTCTCCTATACCCTCAAACTTATCGATATGGCGTTCTGGTACTACTTTGTCTAGCTCCGGGTCAACGTCTAAATTGAGCAATGATTGGTTCTCTTTCATCTCACTGTTTAGAATAGCTTCTTCTTCATCATCATCGTCGTCGTCCTCCTCCTCCTCCATTTCATCTTCTCCCTCTTCTTCTTGGTTCAGTCCACGATTTGACCAAGCCTCCAGAATGACACTTTTTTGTGTGGGGCTTAACTGGAGAGATGTTGGGTGTGTATCCAAGATGTGACGCTTGATATCAGCAAGGTTAAGACTGGGCAAGACACTAGCACACATCATGCAGTGAAGCTGATTGCCTACACAATCATAATCCATCAAGAATTCTACGCGGAACCATTGTTGAAGTGATTCATTAAGGTACTGTTCAAGATGACTGGTGTTTGGAAAAGTTGGCTGAGAAAGCTCTGGACCCATCATTGGGCGCCATACCCCTTTGGTAACTGGAGGCAGGCGGCGACGTTTCTTTTTTGGTTGTAGTGCCATGCATGGATCCTCTGCAAGGAAAACAAGAGACATCACAAGTAATTCACTAATGAGTTGCTTAGTGCAAAAGAATATAAAACATGGAAAAAAGATTTAGGTTTAAGAAAGCAGCACTGTAAATAAGAGGCAGCAAAATAGCATGCCAATTAAAGAGGCAATTACAATCGATATGGAATGCATTAAAAAAGATATTGAAGCAAGCCTTCGAAGATGGAGACAGATGTGTTTATAGAAGAGAAAGGGCAAGAAGGGACAGAAACAGTGAAAAATAGAAGTAAAAAGGAATAAAGAGCACAGGACAATAATATTTAAAAAAAAACTAATTCTGGAAGGAATACCGATATAAAATTTTAATAATAAAAAAACAACATGTATATTCACTTTAAATGTAAACACTACAAACGTGCATTTTGCATATTTAAATCTAAACATAATGTTACTATACTTTCTAAAGAGAACCTTCTATCTACAAAAACAATATATATGATCAGGTTACCTTCAGGTAGGTATAACTTTAATCTATAGATTGTGCTAGCAAATGTGAGCAAATGTACAGATTAACACAGGACCTTAAATTTCAGGTTCTATGCTACTAGCTAGGCCTTAAAAGGTACTCGCCACTGCAAGTCTGGAGGGTGCAAAGCACACTAGCCAATGGCTGGTGGAGAGTTTAAATTTTGAGTTCTGGATTAGAATATATACTTACCTAAAGCTTGCCTTCCCCTCCTCCAAAATGGTGCTTACACATAAATAGATTGTATATACATGTATCCACTACACCAAATGAAAAGTCAGGTATTTGGGGGCCAGGTTGCATCATTTTAGGGTCCATGGATTTTTAGTTTACCTCTATGCCCATGGCACAGAGCTAAAATCACTGAGATGGGAGAGAGGTGTGTAGAATAACCTTTAATCTATGCATTTGCTAGCCGTTTGGCTAGCACAATGTACAGATGGAATGAATCTCTCTTTGCATTGTTTCTCCAGGACAGGTGTGTTTTATGTCATAAGTTGGTTTTCTTTGAATTTGATCTATATGCATATGAATCATATATAAACACGAATAACGTTCCTACCTGACCCAGGCTCCTCGCCCGCAGTCCCTGTCAGTGTCTGTGCATCTACACAAAGGTGAGCATCCCAGCTGCCAATAATGACCTCTTTCTCACTTGGCGTCCAGTTAAGGGAGTAGGGATGCTTCTGACGGATGTGACGCTTAATAGTGCTGAGTTTCAAAGTAGCCAGAGAACTGCCACATACCATGCAGATCATGCTATGACAGCGAGGATTGAAGTCCATCAAGTACTCAAGCCTCCAGTGGCTGTGGTAATAGCGACGATGATCTTTTCCAGGAATGCGACTGTTCCCTGGCCGGGATGCACGCTCTTCATAAATGCCAGGTTCTGGTGCCCCTCCTGAGTGGCTTAGGCCTTCACTACTGTCTGGAGAACTCCAGCTAAAGGGAGCTCCTGGGAAAAGCCCACCAGGTTCTGAATCAATGGGATCTGAGTAGATTGCATCTATAAACATGGTATTTAGAAAGAGTGAAGGGAAAAAAAAGAGGGATTAGGGGATATTTAAAAATATGCCCAAAATAATTAAATTACTTTGTTCCATGTTATCAACAGGGGGCAGAAATTTAGACACCTAGCTGCCACTATCATTATAGCAGACAATACTAAAAAACAGCTCCCAGGTATGACTTTTTGGCACTCCAGTGGCTGCACGTTGTCTTACTTGTGATGCTAAGCCAGTCAAAACAGCTGGCTGAGCATTCTGGTAAGGAGCGCATGTTATTTCAGCAACTACCAGAATCTTTCTGATCGCAACTTAAGGCTCTACAGCTACTGCTCCAACTATTTCTCTACCTAAACACAAAACTATCCGGCACTGTGCAATTAAGTTTATTTCACGAACCACATCCAGTGGTACAGGTAAATGAGCAACATTTAAATGAAAAGGTGTTCATGGAGCTATGATGAAGTTATCCTGCAACTTACACGATCAAAATAACTGCTACTTGTCCATACCCCAACAATAGAAAACAATAATTTCCATTGAAATTAAACATAGCAATAACTAGAAGGAAGTAGCTAATACATCTCATCAGGGCCCCAGCTCGGAATATATCAAAATCTTGCAATTATATAGTAATTTTGAAAGAAATTAAAGGGACAATAGAGGCACCCAGACCACTTCAGCGTATTGAAGTGGTCTGGGTGCACAGTCCCTTTTGCACTTAGTGCTGCAATGTAAAACCGTTCCAGAGAAACTGCAATGTTTACATTGAAGCACTAAGTCTGCCTCCAGTGGCTGTCTCCCAGACAGCCACTGGAGGCACGTCCTGCATCTAAACGGACATTTGGTCCAGTATCTGACGCTGGACGTCCTCGCGCTCTGCATGAGGACATCCAGCATCAGATTTTTCCCCATTGGAAAGCATTGACTCAATGCTTTCTTTTGGGGAGGTCTAAAGCGTGAGCGGCATTGCAAAAAACAATAATAATAATAATAATAATAATAATAATAAAAAAAGAGATAATATGGCTTTAAAGGGCATTCTAAGCACCATAAGGACTACAGCTCATTGTAGTGGTTCTAGGGAAAATAGTCTGTGGGACACAGCACAGTCTGTTTATGTCAGACTTAAAATGATTTCAAGCAATGGTTTAAAATGATGTTGTATTGTGTAGATTCCAACAGACAACAGAGGAGGATAAATAAGAGTACCTGGAGTGGATGTAAATATGCAACATGAAAAGATAAGAACATCCACAAAGGATGACTTTCAATCCTACATCAACAGAGAACTACACAGCAAAAACCTACACACCTGTCACCACAATATCATTTCTGAGTATTTCATACAGACCCAATCGTTATGAAATGCTTTTATTGACCGTGTGTAATTTGACTGTAAAGTTCCAACACAATGAAAACATATCATAAAATGCAAACTAGGAACTTATGTTGACTTATGGTCAAGCCAGAAGTTGACGAAAAGACAGATTTGGTCTGTGGGGGGATCTCGCAGTCGCCTCCGTAGACTCCTTGCTATACTCTCATACTTTAGCCAGTGATGATGGCTCCATGAGAAATGAGAGTTAAAGCAAAAATATGATCTAGGAGTGTGGTATAGCATAATATCAAAAGGCAAAAGAGTTTAACATAGTGCAGCTATTGTGTATTAGCTGCTGTAGCCCCAACAGCGAGTAATATATAGCAAAAGTATTCATCCACAAAGAGCAGCTTCGTTATAGGTGCCCACTAGTGCAGCCCAAATTTATTCAAAGAGCATTCAAAGTTCAGACGTTTCGGGACAGGGCCTACGAAACGTCTGTTCTTTGAATACATATGGGCTGCACTAGTGATCCGCTATACCTAAGCTGCACTTGGTGGAGAAATTAGGGTTAGGAATACATTCAGCTTAACCCCAAATATGATTCTTAACCTAACACTTAAGGAAACACTCTTTGTGTGTCTGGGAGCTGTCTTAAAGGAGCACTATAAGGTCAGGAACACAAACATATATTTCTGACCCTATAGTGTTAAAGTCACCAACTAGCCCTCCCGGCCTCCCTAAATATAGTATAATCTTACTTGTATTCAAGTCTGCAGCTGCTACCTCTGCTCCTGTTTGCCTGTGAAACTGTCTGCTGACATCATCAGAAGTGGTGTTCTGAGCCAATCATACTGCTTCCCCATAGGATTGGCTGAGACTGTCAAGGAGGAAGATCAGGGGCCAAACACAGTCCTGGCCAATCAGCATGTCCTCATACAAATGCACCGAACCAATGCATCTCTATGAGGAAAGTTCAGTGTCTGTATGCAGAGGGTGGAGACACTGAATGGCAGCACTTCCCCAGGAAGCACCTCTAAAAGCCATCGGAGAGGTGGCCAGTGAGTTATCACTAGGCTTTATTGTAAACACTGCATTTTCTCTCAAAAAACAGTGTTTACAACAAAAAGCCTGAACGGAATGATTCTACTCACCAGAACAAATGCAATAAGCTGTAGTTGTTCTGGTGACTATAATGTCCCTTTAACACCTTAGTGACCATGGACGTATCAGGTACGACCGACAGAAAACTGTCCTTAAGGACCGCGGATGCACCTGATATGTCCGCGGGGAATTAGAGTGCTGGAAGCGATCATGATCGCTTCCAGCAGCTCTAATAGTATTGTAGTGATGCCTCGATGTTGAGGCATCGCGGCAATACCCCCCTCACTGATGGTGGCCGGCGGAGAACAGGGGGGTCGAGGCACCCAGTAAATATAACAAAAAAATAAAAAAATAAAAAATTAAATGTTTAAAAAAAAAAATTAAAAAAAAAATAAATTACCCTTACCTCCCTCCTCATGTACTTACCTGTCACTGCCGTTCCCCTGCGGGCAATCGGTCTTCTTCTTAGGCTCAGCCCAGACAGTCCCCCCTCTCCAATTAATGACCCCAAGGGTCTATGTGACTGCTCTAAAAGAGCGGTCACATGGCCGCATTAGGAGTCCACAGTGCTGCCAGCAGGGGGACTGCCTGAACTGACAGGCAGTCCCCCTGCTGAGGAAAAATAAATAAATAAATAAATAAATAAAAGGAAATACATTTAATTTTTTTTTTTTTTTTTAAATGACCCTATAGTGTTAACAGAACCATCTAGCCCCCCTGGGCCCCTCGTACCTCCATAAATATAGTAAAAATCCTATTGTATTCAAGCCAGAAGCTGTAAATCTGCATGCTGTTAGACTCAGGAAAAACAAGCAGTCTGCTGACATGTGATAGCCTGATCCAATCACAGTGCTTCCCCATAGGATCGGCTGAGACTGACAAGGAGGCAAATCAGGGGCAGAGCCAGCATGACTCAAACACAGCCCTGGCCAATCAGCATCTCCTCATAGAGATGAATTGAATCAATGAATGAGGAAAGTTCAGTGTCTGCATGCAGTGGGAGGAGATACTGAATCACAGGATGCTCGTGCACAGCAGATCTGAGTGGATGGAGGCATATTATGCCTCCATCAACTCCGAAGTCCCTCTGGTTCACTCTAAGTGACTGCAGCTGGAGGTGTTCCTAGTTTTTAATGTAAACACTGTATTTTCTCACCTGAACAACCTCATTAAGCTGAAGTTGTTCAGGTGACTATAGTGTCCCTTTAATATAAAAATACACTGGAGTAAAATTCCACACGTATATATGGAATATATATATTGTGTGTGTATGTATGTGTATATATATATATATATATATATATATATATATATATATATATATATATATATATATATATATATATATATTAAAAAAAGAAATTAAAAATAACAAATAAAGTAATTTTATTCTAACTGTATTTTGAGATGTATATTATATATATTATCAAAATACACTCAAAATGAAGTCCCAGACGTGGACTGAAACGTTGATCCTTTTTTAACATGTATTTTCATTAAAGCCTACAACTTTTAAACTTCTGGAAAACCGTGAGTGCTGGTCATCTCTACTACTATATAGATAGATAGATAGATAGATATTGATAAGGTGAATGGGGTGGTCTGTGAGGGAGTTTATATTTCATCTGCATTGTTCAGAGAGGCATATGATCTTTAATCCCAGGGGGAGTGTGTATGTATATAACGTAAATGCATATTTAGTTATGGGCCCCCTGGGGTGGAGCATTTGGAGAGAAGGGTGGGCCAGTACTCCGCTGTTTATTGTTTTTTCTTGGGAGACATGGATCCAGGCCAGGGTTTGGACTGTCTCCAACCCACTGCTCAGCTGCAGGTAATCAGCTGCAGCAGTGGGAATTAACCCCTCCCTGCTAGGCAGGTAGGGGAGAATGTTTGTTTCTCTCTTGAAGGGCTGGGAGCAGCAGGCTGACTAACCACTGGAGTGCAGAGAGCTGACAGAGACACTAGGTTGGTGAAACCAATATTGTTTTGTTATAGTTTAACCCCTGAGAGATAGGGAATCTGAAGTTAGTAAGTGCTCAGACGAGCTAGGTTTTTGTTTTTTTAATTTGCTGCTGTCTCTGTGGTGCAGCTCAACAATAAAGCGCTTGGAATTAAGTTACTTTTAAAGACTGTGCATGTTTGTTCCCAAAAGGACCATGCTAACTGCAGACAAGGATCACATAACAACCGGGGACATACTACGTACGTCCGACAAAAAAAAAAAACGGTCATTAAGTACCGTGGACGTACCTGCAGCAAATAGGAGCCCTGGACTTACCTGGACTGGCGATCATGGTCTGGGACTGGACTGCCGGAGAGCCCAGCAGTCCCCCTGCAGCAGCTCCGGCCCTCCAGGGCCATATGATCACCATGATCACATTGCCGCAATAGCAGTCTAGGAGCTGTCTGAGCTGTCAAACAGTCCCCCAGTTTGCTAAAAAGTCAAAAAAAAATTTAAAAAAAATATATATTTTATAAAATAATGAAAGCATTTTATAATATATTATACATATATAAAATTTCATTTTAAGTGTACTTTGAGATATACATATATCTCAAAATACACTTCTAATGAAATCATATATGCATTATATATGTATAATATTATAAAATGCTTTCATTATATTATACATATATAGGAAATAAAACTGTGTGTGTGTGTGTGTGTGTATATATATATATATATATATATATATATATATATATATATATATATATATATATATATATATATATACACACACACACACACACACAGTTTTATTTCTATCTATCTATCGTTATCTCCTTGTTTGAAGTGCACTCACAGGAATTATTTCAAAATCGTGCTGTTTATTCAAAGCATCAAATTTCCAGTAAATGGTGTCAACGTTTCAGTCCTCCAGGGCACCAGACAAGACCGGGAGCAGTGAGTGCGGGACATATACACACATATATATACATACATACATACATATACACACACACACACACACACACACTTATATAAAACAAATATAACAGCTAACTTTAGCCAGCATTTGTGACAACAAAAGACTGGAAATACCCCATTTGGAATACCCTGGTTTATCTACATTTGAAAATTGTATGCCATGATGGGGTTTTTTCACATTCCTGGGTTACCATATAGTCTCAAAATGCAACACAGACCCAGCAAACCAATCTGGCAAACTGAATCGGGCAAGCCCTATATTGACCATGTAACTTTCCAAAACACCATAAAACCTGTACATGGGGTGTATTGTTATACTCAGGAGACTTTGCTAAACACAAATATGAGTGTTTAAAACAGTAAAACTTATCAGAACGATGAAATCACCAGTAACAGTGCAGTTCTTGTGTTAAAAAAAAAATGCAAAACACAAATATGAACGCTAACTTTGGCAAGCGCTTGTGGCTACTACAAATGACTGTACATTAGGGATCGACCGATATTGATTTTTTTTAGAGCCAATGCCGATACTTATAATCTGTGAACTTTTAGGCTGATAGCTTACCGATATTCTGTACATTTGCCATTTTGAAAAAATAAACTATTTCTAAAGGTAAATGCACAAAATATACATGACACATGTAGTGGATGCAGTATGTTTAGACAGGGGAGCTGTGTGTTTTTGTGTAGTTTGTGTAGTGTGTTTATAATGATTGCAGAGTGTGTGTGTTTGTGTAGTGTGTGTGTGTGTGTGTGTATAGTGAATGCAGGGTGTTTGTGTAGTGTGTGTGTGTGTGTATATAATGAATGCAGTGTGTTTGTGTAGTGTGTGTGTGTGTGTATATAATGAATGCAGGGTGTTTGTGTAGTGTGTGTATTGTGGCAGTGTTATGGAACACTGCTATATTAGCCCCAGAATGGCACTTTCAGTGTTCCCCGACTAGAGGGGGTTAAAATTCAGGTGTCTCTAGTAGATTAATTAGGGAGCTACAGAAACCCTATGCAGAGGGAAATCAGTCTCTCCTGTGAAGAGTTGGGGCGGAGACAGACTGAGTCAAAGAGACTGCCGAAATTGTGTGGAAAGTAAAGGTATTTTGCAAGCCTTTATTTGTATTTGTTAAACTACTGGGGTCAGCTTAGCTGCCCAGTAGCATAGAAAGGGTACTCTATGTTAGTCTCAACGTGGGGAGTAGGAGTTTGTTTGGTTTAATGCTTTGCTGTGGCTAAATTTGGGGCCGGCTTGCTAAATAAAGCTTTCCATATATTGGAAGAAAGAACTGTTTCTGTTGTTTATGACCCAAGACTCGGTCAGCCTGCTACAAGTGGTGTCGGAAGTGGGATGTTTTGTGTACTGAAAACCTTACCAGTACAGACCCTGAGGAAATATAAAGCCATGTAGCGTGAAAGTGTTATTGCTGCAATAGAGGGTGTATTAACCCCTTAAGGACCGGACTGTTTTGGCGATGTTAACGACCAGGCCTCTTTTTACACTTTTGTGGTGTTTGTGTTTAGCTGTAATTTTCCGCTCTCTCATTTTCTGTTCCCATACAAATTATTTATTGTTTTTTTTTCTCAAGGACAAAAAGGGCTCTCTTTACATACCATTATTTTATATAATCTCATGTAATTTAATTTTTTTTAAATGATGATAAATTGAAAAAAAATTTATTTTTATTTTTTTACACACTTTTACTTGAAAAATCTTTTACTCATCTACAAAAGCGAATGGGGAAAAAAAACTGCTAAATAGATTCAAAAGTTTGTCCTGTAGTTTAAAAATACCTACAGTAGACAACCCAGGGTATTCAACATGGGGTATGTCTAGTCTTTTTTAGTAGCCACTTAGTCACAAACACTGGCCAAAGTTAGCGTTCATATTTGTTTGTGTGTGAAAAAAGTAAAAAACTAAATTGAATGCTAATTTTGGCCAGTTTTGTGACTAAGTGGCAACTAAAAAGGACTGGACATACCCCATTTGCAATACCTTGGGTTGTCTTCTTTTGCAAATGGTATGCCATCATGGAGGTAATTCTCATTCCTGGGCTACCAAATGCTCTCAAAGGCATAGTAACCAACCTGGCCATTTTCAATGTAAAAATATTTGACCCTGTAACTTTCAAAAACGCTAGAAAACCTGTACATGTGAGGGTACTGTTATACTCGGGAAACTTTGCTGAACACAAATATTAGTGTTTTAAAACAGGAAAACTTATCACAACAATTATATCATCAGTAAAAGTGCTGTATGTGTGTGAAAAATGCAAACTAAGTCACTTTCACTGACTATGATTGCTGTGATATGTTTTACTGTTTTGAACCACTAATATGTGTTCAGCAAAGTCTCCCGAATAAAACAGTACCCTCCATGTACAGGTTTTAGGGTGTCATAGAACGTTACAGGGTAAAATACAGTGCTTGCAAATTAAATTCTCCGGACTTCCGGCCTGGGTTGGCAGGCAGGTCCCTCAAATTGCAATCAATAAAATTACTTAATTATGTAAAAATATTACATAAATACGCCCGTAGAATTTAAATATATATTTGAAGTGTACGTGTATATTTATATAATTATTTATGTAATTTTGTATATGGACATATGTATATTTCATATTATTATTTATTTATACATAGATATATATAAAATTTCATTCTAAGTGTATTTTGAATATAATATATATATTCTCTCAAAATAGTTAGAATAAAATTTCATATACCGTATATACTCTAGTATAAGACGAGTTTTTCGGCACATTTTTTGTGCTGAAAATCCCCCACTCGTCTTATACTCGAGTAACTTACATTGCCATAATACAGACAAGGACCGTCGGGCTCATTGCAGCTCCTGTCAGCTCCCTTCTCTTCGTCTGGTTAGCTCACCTGCCGCGCGGAGCGTTGCCACGGTAATCTCGCGAGAACCGCGGGGTCAGAGCATTGCCACGGATTACTGTGGCAACGCTCCAAGCGACAGTGGAGCTGACTGGACCAGAGGAGAGAGAAGGGAGCTGACAGGAGCTACAGGAAAGGTAAGTAAACGCTTCCTGCCAGCCCCCTCCTACACAGTGCACACCACTGGACCACCAGGGAATGAGAGCCCCGCTCCCTGTCCAGGTATTAAGCAGGGAGGGGGGACAAAAAAAAAAACATAAAAATTTAAATACAAAATAACAAAAATATTAATATTTAAAAAAAAATTTTACAAAAAATAAAAATGCCCACCCCCCACCAAGGCTCTGCATCACATACACTGCACTCTCACACACACACACACACTGCACTCATTATATACACACACTGTAAATAAATATAATTTAATGGCGAGAAAAACGGTATAGAATATGTGTGGGTACAGTAAATGAGTAAGAGGAAAATTACAGCTAAACACAAACCCCACAGAAATGTAAAAACAGCCCTGGTCCTTAACAGTAAGAAAATTGAAAAACTGTCTGGTCACTAAGGGGTTAAAGTCTTAAAATGTGACAGTTAACAAAAGTGCCAGTTTCAAAAGAAATTAGCCCTTTTATAATTGTGGCAGAAGCACCTTCCTGTCTGTCAATTAGGCAGCCAATGAGGTTTTCTTCAAGTTCTGTTAGCTCCACATAGCTTAGGAAAGCAGCAGGCGTGCTAAGCTACAGAGCGCTTGCATTCCTCTTTTCACAATGAGCTGTAGTACAGCTTATGGAGATGCATTGTAAAGCAGTGATGATGAGCATGTGTGCTACCTCAACGAGAAGCCTCTGATTGGACTATTCCCTGGCATATACGAAGTCAAATCTATGGAAAGAATGTTGGGAGCTTGCAAATGCTGCCGACAGCCTGGGATCAGTCTGATATGCAGATGGTATAGATTCTGCTTGTAATGGCACAAGCAAGTAAAAACATTTTTGAGACCTGATCAGGTATTAACCTAAGGGCAAGCTACGGAGTTTCTCTAAGTTTTGTCTGTTCTCAGAATTCTCATTCTATATTTTTCCATATACCACAAAGATAAATGTAGAAAAAATAAATACATGCGTCTTTTTTGGGGGTAAAGCTAATAAATTGTCTAATTCTGAAACATAATTCTAAGTCTGCAAATAACTAACGGTCAATAATTTGCTATGAGCAGCAATGTACTGGATCATCGCAGAGTAAGCCAAGCCTCCTCCATCACGTGGCGGGAGGCACAGAGGTCAGCTGAAAAATAAGTGAAGGCGTGTTTTTTTTTTGTTTTTTTTAATAGCACATAGCTGGGAAGGGACCTTAATACAGGAAGGGAGAAGAACACTATGGCATTAGGAATACAGGTTTGAGTTGGAATTATTTGTCTTGTTTTACATATTGTACCGCACTGCGGAACATGTTTTTTTGGTTCCAGGTGTGATAACAAATCAACTATAAGGAACCTCTTCTGCCAGTACATAAGCACATTCAACCCCCCAAACAATGAAAAACAAACATAAAAACATTATTTTTGTTTACTACTATGATTTGGTGGGAGGATAAGAGGAGACAAAAAAAACACTAATGTCCATTAAAGAGAGACGCCAGACACCTAAAGAACTTAAGCCTAGCAGGAGTGTTTAGGAGGTGCCCCTTAGTCCTGTTTTATTAAAGCGCCTATTCATGAAACGGGATGGAAACAAGCCCCTGGCTGTCAAACTAACATCCACATCCTCTCTCTGTACAAAAGAACTAAACTTCTCTCGTAATGAGTTTTCTCAAAGTGAAGCATTGGTCAATGATTCCCTGTCATAGCCATCTCCCAATCATATCTGCAGCAATGCCTCGGTCGAGGGTACGCATCAAAGCAGAACATTACTAGGAATCAAGTCTTCATTTAGATAAAGGTTATGAAGATAAATTAAAAAACTTACCCGTTTTCCAGCGCCATGACTAAGTGGTTGCAGCCACCTGCTCCTTCTCCAGTAATGTCATCTGGCAGGCAGTCTCTTCTACGTCTTGTCGTCCAATCCAATGCTTCTCATAGAAAAGCATTTGGGAGGAGAAGCATTCAGACGAGGTGTTGTGTGAGAACAGAGTCTGACTCAGTTCAGGAAGCCATCCATTAGAGGTGTGCTCAGCACTGCAATGAAAATATTCCAATAGACTGCAGTGGAAGCATGCAAGGCTAAAATGACAGAGGTACTGCACCCAGACCACTTCAGTGAAAAGAAAGTGGTCTTGGTGTCTATAGCATCTTGAAGGGATACTATAGGCACCATGACCACTTCATCTCATTGAAGTAATCTGGATGCAGTGCTTCTGGCCCCTTAACATGCAATTTTTACATTGCAGGGATAAGATAACCTGTAGTGGTGTATTCATGAGGACATACAACAACTTAAAAATTCCCTATAGGAAATCATTGATTCATACTTTACTATGAAAAAACTCAAATTTCGTGGTGCTCGCTGAACATGTGCTTTAGGTTCCCACATAAGCATGATGTTGCGGGAGGAGGAGACCGAGCCAGCTCCAAATGGTGAAATGGTGCTGGAAGAGGGGGGGTTAAACGTTTCATGACTGCAGGTGGAGGGACCTAATAAGTTACAGACAGGACATATTATAGTGTTTCGAACACAGGTTTGTATTCTCAACGATATATAGTGTTCCTTTAATGTCTAACAGAGGACAGAAACAACAACTATAAAGACAAGATGGAGTCCACAAGCTAAATAAATAAATTTAAAAAACTGACTCAAAACACAACTCTCTGTCACTTCAGTGTTCTAGCACAGCTGGTTACGAGTGATCCATCACCACCGAAGGGGTGAAATGTAAAAAGGATGGAGGCAGGGGATTGAGTAAGAAAGTTTCAGATGCAGGGATAAGAAAACATAAGGAAAATGTTGGGTAGATTAATATCATCACCCATACTGCACACCCTCTTCAGGGGTTGTAGAATACAATTGTGCATTACAAGAAGAAGGCAGAATTTACAGTTTTGCATTATCATATATTATAAGCATCCAGAATTTATACTTCTGCTATATCTTGTTTCATTCAAGGAATTCTTCCACATAATCATTTCAGTCCAGCATGGTCAGCAGTGATAGGCTATCCCTACAGAGTGATTATGGTGATGATCGAGCTGTAGTGGTTACTGTGTGTAGATTGGCTTTAACAGAAGTGGCTAAAAATGTTTTTTTCAATCATGACTTCCCTATATTTATTCAATAGCGTGCCCTTGAAGGATAAACTTCATTAAAGGGACACTATGGTCACCCAGACCACATTAGCTCAATGAAGTGGTCTGGGTGCCAGGTCCCGCAGGTTTTAACCCTTCAGATGTAAACATTGCAGTTTCAGAGAAACTGGTGGTCTTCCTGAGAGCTGCTAGAGGCGCAACTGCGACGCTGGATGCAATGTTTACATCTGAAGTTTTAACCCTTCAGATGTAAACATTGCAGTTTCAGAGAAACTGGTGGTCTTCCTGAGAGCTGCTAGAGGCGCTGGTGCAGAACGTCCATAGGAAAGCATTGAGAAATGCTTTCCTATGCACTGTTTGAATGCGTGCGCGGCACTTGCCGCGCATGCGCATTCCACTCCACTCGGGAGCTGACGTCGGTGGGGGAGTAGAGGTCACCAGCGTTGAGGGAGCCCGGCGCTGGATTAAGGTAAGTAGCTGAAGGGGTTTTAACCCCTTCAGCGCCAAGGGAGGGGGACCCTGAGGGTGGGGGCACTCTTAGGGCACTATAGTGCCAGGAAAACGAGTTTGCTTTCCTGACACTATAGTGATCCTTTAAAAAACAATAAGGCCTGTCCACAACTTCACCAAATTGCAGGTTAGAGCGCAATTTAGATATTACCACTAATACACATTGTAACTTGAAATAAAATTTAAAATAATTCACAGTGTAGTATATTACATAGTAACATAGCAAGCACATGGTTATCCAACTCACATGTTGATGAGCCACATATAGTAGGCTCAGACTTTAAAAGCTCCAGTCAGATATCTTTTTGTAGTTCTCTGGATTTTAACCCAGCAGATTTATTTCCAAGACCTCCTTTGTGCTTTACTTAAATCGATCAACATAAGGGAAACTTACAAATATTACTGCATCTATTGAATAAAAAATGCAAACTGAACCTAAAAAAAGATATAGCACAACATGTTTCGACCATGGTGTTCTTCAAAGGTACATCATTTATATTACCACAAGTCCTTCATACGTATAGGGTGGTTGGCGCGCTTTTTGACGGATCTTTATTTCCTGATATGTCACTTTCGCCTGTCACTCCGCATATGCGCAACATTGTTATTACACTCTAGTCAGAGCACCATCTTTCTTCGCTAATTGTCATAATGTCCATTATATTTATGGGCAAACTGCCTCTTTCGCCATATACTTTACCTATCTAGCTCATATCTATCTAGCTCATATCAGGTCCAACATTCTCAAAAAATTTTTTTTTAAAAAGCACCACTAACTTGCTAAAATTAATCTGATATAGGGTAAGAAATATTTAATGTATATTCCTACAATGATGAAACATGTTTTTATTAATGTGACTTCATCATCTTATGTGAATTTATAAACATAACCTCAAATTTTTCTTCCAATTTATCTACACTTTTTTTAAGTGTTCGTTTTATGTATTTGATCATTTTTCTTTATTGTAGGAATCTATATCAAATAGTTCTTACCTTATTTTACATTATTTTTAACATGTGTTGTGGTTGGGTTTTTTTTTTTTTTTTTTAATTATAAAGTGATCATTTCCCTGCTTCTTTAAATTTTTTTAGAAAGCTTATTGGACATTACATGGACTGGATTGCTACAGTATAAAGCGGAAGAGGCAGTTTTCCCATAAATATAATGGACATCATGACTATTACCGAAGGAAAGATGGCACCTGGACCAAGTGTAATAATGACGTCACAAACATATGCTGAATGAGGTAAGTGGAAGTGACAAATAGCGATCCGCCAAAAAAAACACAAAAGAAGGCAAAAAGCATGCCAACCACGCTATAAATATGGAAAACTTGCAGAACTGTAAATTAATCATCTTGAAGACCATCACAGTCGAAACGCGTTGTGCTATATGCTACAGATTTTTTATGTTCATTTGGGATTTTATTTGATTCCCAGTAATATTTGTTTGTTTCCCTTATGCTTACTGATTTAAATAAAGCACAAAGGAGGCCCTGGAAAAAAAGAAAAAAATCTACTGAATCCAGCAAATCCAGAGAATTACAAGAAAGCTATCTGACTGGAGCCTTTAAAATCTGAGCCTTATACATGTGGCTCAGCAACACGTGAGTTTGATACCATCGAAAACTGAGAATATGTAATATATAATGATATACTACCCTATGATTTATTTGCACTTTTATTTCATATTACAACAGAATTTGTATTAATGGTAACATCTACCTTGTTTAAGGTGTGCTCTCACCTCCAATTTGGCTATTTAAGTTTACATTGTGGTTTGTGTTGTGTGGAGTGACGCAGCATTTGGTGATTGTAGAAACACCTTTTGCCCTTTATTACATGTATTATACAAGTCCAGCATAGCCCTTAAACCTAAAGTGCCTTTACGATCTTCTTACAGTAAAAACAATGAAAATAGCTGCAACACCAAAATTCCAGATCTAGGAGATTTTATTCCACCAAAAGTCGATGAAATGTTAAGAGGGAAGTCAGTTTATTTATATATTATTTTTTTTTACCCAAATGTTTCATATTTATATGTACCAATTGATGGTGAAATACAATACATATCACGGATTCAGGAAAGTGACTGAAGGGGTTTTAACGCGGGAGGGGGGCACTGTAGGGACCTATAGTTCCAGGAAAACGGCTTTGTTTTCCTGGCACTATAGAATCCCTTTAATTATAACTATGCTGGTCTTGGCATGATTGTACTCTTATATTTTACGTAGGAGCCCCATTTTTCAGATGAACAGGTATTTCTATGGAAATCGCACCATTGAAAATTATTGACAACTTGTGCTAACCTTATTTCATTTGATGATCAATTTACTTTTAAAGTGGCTCTGTCACCCCATATCAAAAGAGTATTTCATAAAGATTGAATCTTTATGAAATACTCAAATTTGATTGTGTTGAAATTTCACTGAAATTCGTATTCAGTCAAAAGATATACTGAGAAGGTAGGGACTAATTTGTCTCAGTATTTTTTCTACAAATGACAAAAAGGCAGAGCTACCGCTGCCAAGCTTGTCATTTCTCCCAGCCATCATCAGTGATGGCTGTAGGGGGGAAAAAAAGCACTTTTTATGGAGGACATGCTCTCATAGGATCCTCCACCGATCTCAATGCTGTATTCTAACTCATGCACAAGAGTACAGCGCTGACATCATCTAGTGAGGACGTTGGCCCCCGCGAGGGAAAGGTTCATGTAAGTAAAGCTCTCTTTTCCCTATCCCCCACGGCCACTGGACTCCCAGTGTTGATGCCACTACTGCATATCTTTGCAAATGATGCAAACACCCTGGAGGGGGACAGAGACACTTTTAATGCATATCAAAAAATTAAAAACACATCACAATCAAGTTCCGTCCTGGCACAGCCAGGGCACAAACTGCATTAAAATAGAAGAATTGGAAACAACGTTTCTGTTCTATCTATACTGTATATTTCTACATTTAATTTTACAGATCTCACAAAACACACATTTGTTGAAAATAAGAGATAAGTAAACACAATATATAAAAACTCGGTTAGTGATTGCTTCCCCAATATCACTTTACCCCTGCAACTAATTGCTGTCCTGCCAACTAACACTCGCCTTTAAAAGAGAGCCTACTGACATCTGTATCACATTACTATCCCTCCACCATAGATGGCCATCCTAATTCAGATGTCATACCTACCCTCTCAACGTCACCACACCAACACAATTCCAAATTGTAGAGCAGGGGTAGGCAACTTTCGGCACTACAGATGTTGTGGACTACATCTCCCACAATCCTTTTACACCCACAATGCTGACAAAGCATCATGGGAGGTGTAGTCCAAAACATCTGGGGTGCCGAAGAGTATTCGTCCCCGCTGATAAATTTATTAGCTCCCATTTCTACAATACTGTTTTATCCTGTGTTCAGGATTTTGCAATCTGTTCTAGCAGCATCAAGGCACTAACTGCTTTCTGCACTAGAGAAATGCAGATGTGACTCTGCCTAAAATACCTAAATTCCCAAATGGCAGAGATGATTATTATCTGTGCCATCAAAATGATTTATTTATTTTTAAGGGCTGGATCAGCATTCTGGGAGTTGCAGTTCAATGTCCCTTGGTGGTGTGACTGGTTTTTATAATTAATATTTGTATTATAATATAAAGTGCTCTCCTCCTGTGAGTGCCCATGCTGTGATAGTCATAGTGTGAGGCGCCATGTTTGCTGCTTGCAGTGTCTCTCTGGCTCTGTCTGTCTCTGTGTCTCTGTAATAGTGGATGCAGCCAGCCTGCATTGCGCCTCCATACAGCTCGCACACTGCCTGTAACATCGCACAGTAACAGCAGGAGACGCTGTGCTGCACTACCCCATTCCCACCAGTGGGTGTCGCTGTTGCCCACCAGGCTCCGCCACTCACCCCCTGCGGCCTCGTCCTTGATCCTCATCCCCGGAGTTTCCTGCTCAGTCTGACCGCTCCTCGACGTGCATTCCCCGGATGGGCCCGCCTGGGACCCATCCGGAATTTCCGCTTCTTCTTCATTTCGCCTGGTGCGCTGCATGCCCTCCGCCTTCCGGTGTTCTAATTAACTCCCGACAGCTGGGGCTGGGGCTCGGCCGGCGGGGAGACTCAGGGCCCGGGTTAGCCGCCGATCAGTACCGCACAGGAGGGCGGGGCCTATGGCTGACGACACGGAAGAGGCAGAGCCGCCTCCCTCCAAGCGCCGCACAGGACTGAGGGGCGGAGCTAGTGACGTCATGGCGGCAAGCCGTGTCCTAGCGCCGCACAGGACTGAGGAGGCGGGACTAGCAGTCTCCAGGGGGCGGGGCTTGTCCTAACCGCCTCTCGGGTCTTAGAGGGAGGAGTGGGTGACGTCACCGGGATATGTACCACGTGATCGCAGTGCAGTCCGTGTGCTCGGTGTTACCCGAGTAATAATACTGTGTGATCAGAGTATCAATACTGTGTGATCAGAGTAATAATACTGTGTGATCAGAGTAATAATACTGTGTGATCAGAGTAATAATACTGTGTGATCAGAGTATCAATACTGTGTGATCAGAGTAATAATACTGTGTGATCAGAGTATCAATACTGTGTGATCAGAGTATCAATACTGTGTGATCAGAGTAATAATACTGTGTGATCAGAGTATCAATACTGTGTGATCAGAGTAATAATACTGTGTGATCAGAGTATCAATACTGTGTGATCAGAGTAATAATACTGTGTGATCAGAGTAATAATACTGTGTGATCAGAGTATCAATACTGTGTGATCAGAGTATCAATACTGTGTGATCAGAGTATCAATACTGTGTGATCAGAGTATCAATACTGTGTGATCAGAGTATCAATACTGTGTGATCAGAGTAATAATACTGTGTGATCAGAGTATCAATACTGTGTGATCAGAGTAATCAATACTGTGTGATCAGAGTAATAATACTGTGTGATCAGAGTATCAATACTGTGTGATCAGAGTATCAATACTGTGTGATCAGAGTAATAATACTGTGTGATCAGAGTATCAATACCGTGTGATCAGAGTATCAATACTGTGTGATCAAAGTAATAATACTGTGTGATCAGAGTATCAATACTGTGTGATCAGAGTAATAATACTGTGTGATCAGAGTATCAATACTGTGTGATCAGAGTAATAATACTGTGTGATCAGAGTATCAATAGATCAGAGTATCAATACTGTGTGATCAGAGTATCAATACTGTGTGATCAGAGTAATAATACTGTGTGATCAGAGTAATAATACTGTGTGATCAAAGTAATACTGTGTGATCAGAGTATCAATACTGTGTGATCAAAGTAATACTGTGTGATCAGAGTATCAATACTGTGTGATCAGAGTAATAATACTGTGTGATCAGAGTAATAATACTGTGTGATCAGAGTATCAATACTGTGTGATCAGAGTATCAATAATGTGTGATCAGAGTAATAATACCGTGTGATCAGAGTATCAATAATGTGTGATCAGAGTAATAATACTGTGTGATCAGAGTAATAATACTGTGTGATCAAAGTAATAATACTGTGTGATTGTAACGAGAATATACCCCAACACGCAGGATTCAGCTAAACAGAAGACAACACAGAGGAGAGATACGTCTACCGGACCTTAGAATGGCCGGACTCGACGTATATGAGAGGAGACAGAGTCAGGAACGATCCGAAGTCAAGGGCACAGAGAGACAGCGTAAACTAGGACAAGCCGGGGTCTGGTACACAGTAAACAGCAAGCCGGCAAACCAGAACAGATAAGGATAAAGAGAAAACGTAGTCAGAAACAAAGCCAAAGTCAATACGGAGAAACACAACTGAACACAACAAGCGCTAAAGGGAACTGAAACAGAAACCACGATAGGGCAGGGAGTAAAGGGAGAGGTAAGTTTAAATAGCTTCTAAACTAATGTGATTGGCTCCTGTCATATCCACCCCCCCAAAAGGTAAGTGTATGGGGAGTGTGGCATGACATGGGCCAATGGGAGCCTTATGACAATTTAGGCTCCCACTGTCTCTTTAAGAGCGCGCCCGAGACTTGCGGCGCGCTCTTAGATTCAGGCGGGACACGTGATCGCTTCTTGCGGTCACTGCCCGCCTTCCTATTGAAGCCATCGGATGAGCCGCGCGTGGCTCGTGCAGCAGCAGGACCGCTCGCGGCTCGAAGAGAGGACCGCGGCCGGCCCCTGGATAAGGTAAGTAACGCTACAGTGATCAGAGTAATAATACTGTGTGATCAGAGAAATAATACTGTGTGATCAGAGTATCAATACCGCGTGATCAGAGTAATAATACTGTGTGATCAGAGTATTAATACCGTGTGATCAAAGTAATAATACCGTGTGATCAGAGTAATAATACCGTGTGATCAGAGTAATAATACTGTGTGATCAGAGTATCAATACCGTGTGATCAGAGTAATAATACCGTGTGATCAGAGTATTAATACTGTGTGATCAGAGTATTAATACCGTGTGATCAGAGTATCAATAATGTGATCAGAGTATCAATAATGTGATCAGAGTATCAATACCGTGTGATCAGAATATCAATAATGTGTGATCAGAGTATCTATAATGGGATCATAGTATCAATACTGTGTGATCAGAGTATCAATACCGTGATCAGAGTATTAATAATGTGTGATCAGAGTATCAATACCGTGATCAGAGATTAGTAATGTGCGGGCAGAGTATCAATAATGATCAGAGAACTAATACTGTCTGATCATGGTATATAATCACTGTGTACATCATATACTGTACTGTCTGATCATGATATAATATAATGTGTGTAAATACTATACTGTCTGATCATGGTATATAATAATTCTAATCAGTGTGTACATACTGTCTGATCATGGTATATAGTTATAATCTGTGTGTAAACATTATATATACTGTCTGATCATGGTATATAGTAATTATAATGTGTGTTTATGCTGTCCTATCAGTACATGCATTGTTTATATAATTTTCTAAATGTCAGTCTATGTCTTATATACCATTATCTGAGCAGTCTGTGTACAGTATAGCTCCCCAGATCAGTGTGTGCACAGAGTATACACACAGAGTGATCAGATACAATGTATACACTGCACGTGTTCCATCAGTCGCATAATTTCCTGTACAGCCGCCTTGGTCAGTAAACAAGTCCTCCGTCCCTCCCTGTACACCGCACGTACACAGCCTAGCTCCGCAGGAGACCAGCAACATGTGCTCTGCAACAAGGCTGATCCTCAAACTGCTCTGCAGCCGCGTGTGCTCTGCATTATGCTCTGGGCAGTCAGTGTATCTCATGCTCCGTTTTGTATTTAATATTTTTTTTACGAATGCAACCACAGACGCATTTAGCCTGCAGTATATATCGTGCACACGTGTTCACACAGTCAGTAGAAGTACAAGTACAGCCTGCAGGCAGCACAGAATAAACAGCAATGTCTGCCTGCTGTGAATAATGTTCTGCCTATAGTGTGCTTAGTACTGCAGGTTCCATTACTGTAAATAACCAGTTTCAATGCCCAGGCTATGAAATACAGTGTTCAGCTTGTTATACACCATGTACAGTATTTATTGGTATAGTGTACAGTGTGCAGCATGTATGCAGTGTTTATTATTATTTATGAAGCTCCAACACATGCTGCAGCGCTGTACAATGGGTATAGTAAACTGACTGGCATGATCTGCTGGGTGTGTGAATGATCCATATGTGTGTCCTGGTCTGTTTGCAGGCAGTGACTGTGGATTATTTTGTTCTTTTAATCCCTAAACTCACAGCCTGATGATCACTTTGTTACTATGAGGATGTGGCATTGGGGAGTGGGATAAACTCAACACTGACATTACTCCAGGACATAGGAGGGCTGTGATGGCCATATTTCTGGTAGCATAATTCTACTAATATTTCTATTAAATGCTCTTTCAGTTATATGTTTTGGGCTAAATAATATTGCTGTTTATAAGCTATGTCAATGTATTATAACAACACAATACATGGCTGTGCTTTGATGAGGGCGATTAAAGCAGTCTTTCTTTCAGTCTAAAGGCCATTGCGCCGATAGTGCATCATGTTACATTGCAGAGGTCCGGGTGGAATACACTGGCCACACACCTTTAGTCTAGCCCTAAAGGTAAGTGTTTCTCAACCTTTTACAGAGAAGTAACCCGCAGGTCTAAAAAAATTCCTAAGCACCACGCCTCGAGAATTCATTTCTATTAATTAAAATTCTAAATGAAACGTGTACACACTGATATTTTAGTTAATCCAGTATTGGAGAATAAGCATGATTACAGGTAGTAAAGAATATTTTTAAAATAAATATGACATAATGTGAATATTGTGTATGTAAGGAGGAGTGTATGAACTATTAATCTGAAGTATAAAAGTTACAAAATGAAAATATAATACACACATAATAGTTACACACAGAGGACACACACACTTACACACTGTGACTCCCACACTGTCACCCCCCCTTACTCTCACCTCACCCTCCCACACACTGTCACCCCACGTCACACTGTCACCCCACCTGTCACCCCCTCACCCTGCCTCCCCTCTCACCCCACATTTGACCCTGTCACTCACCCTGCCACCCCACCTGTCACCCTGCTACCTCACCTGTCACCCCCTCACCTGTCACCCTGCTAC